CACGGTGCGGCACGCGGGCACAGCGCGGCACGGCTCGCGCGGGCGGCGCATGTCGGCATTCCCGCACAGCGCGGCACGGCTCGCGCACGGCACGGCACGCGAGCGGCACGGCACGGCGCGTGGGCGGCAGAATCTTCCCAATGCAGAACGCTCGCAGGCCTAGAGGTTGACACCAACACCAAGATCGGCCGTGGGCCTCCACCGGGGGAAGACGATGCCGATCTCGGCGAGGGTGGTAATATTCGGGCTTCCACGGCGACCGAAATATGACCACCAGCACCGAAATCTAGGATCATCTTTTCCCTGTGGAGGTAACCCCTTGTCTTGGTGTTGGTGTCAACTTCCAAGCCTCCAAGACGCGGGCACGGCACGGCACGGCATACGGGCGGGAGACTGTCGCATTCCAGAACGCAGCAAGAAGTTCTTGCAATGCACGTGGGACCCTAATCCAATTCGTTGGTTGGGCAACAAATCAAAGATCAGCCAGCGCGTCGACAGCAATCGGAGTCGCCCTGTCCAGCGACAGTAAAGTACAGCGAGTCCCCCAGAATTGTTCCTCCCCGTACTTCTGAAACGCGTGATGGTGCCTGCGCAAAAGTGTCCCACATTCTCGAGGTTCCACCCAAGACTTCATATGCTGTGGCCATCGTGGGAACGTTCAGGGAAGATCGGAGTATTAGCACAAACGGCAAAACATGTTGTGCGTGCCACCCGATGAGTGGCAAGAAATGTTATTCTGCCTGCCCCCTTGGCCTCTGAAGAATTACGGGCATCGTGCTTGAAATGGCGCGCAGGCTCAGATCACTTTGGGGCACAAGTGATGAGTTCTGGAGGCGAAGCTGGTGGAAGGTAGGGCTCGGCTCGATGCTTGGCCTTCTTGGCTACATGTTGCGGCTGATCTCCCTCTTCACCCAACGATGTCCTGGACGGGCTTACGAGTCTTAGTTGTGGTAGCAGGCAAAGGCAGCGCAGGGGGAGGGGAACTAGCACTGCAGCACCTCGATCACCGCTGGCACACAGCCGCTCCAAATGCTTCTGGACAGGCCTGCAGTGCATCTGCTTCCTGAGAGGCACAGAAGGCACGAGCGCCAAGTATGCGGTGGAGTCGCGGTCGGCCGCCTGCGTCTTCTGGAGCTCCACCGCCGGAACGGACGGCTGGCATGGCTGATCGGGAGCCTCGAGACGGGGGTCAGTGCAGACGGGGGTCAGCCAGAGTGCCGGATCTTGCAGGATCCTGCAGCACCAGGGTCGCATTGACCCGGGTTTGGGTGCAGGATTCTGCAGGATCCTGCAGGATCCGTCGCATTGACCCGGGTTTGGGTGCAGGATCTTGCAGGATTTTGCAGGCCTGATTGACCCGGGTCTGGATTGACCCGGGTCAGAAGATCCCCGAGCTGACTTCTTTTGGACGGGCCTCCTGCTCGAGCGAGGCGGGGAAGGACCGCGTTCTGGCTCACCAGATCGGGCAGCATCCTGACTCGAGGGCGGCGGTGCGCGGAGGAGGACACGACGCTGCGCCCGGAGCACTGCGAGCACCACGGTAGGAGGAGTCGACGGCGGCGGCGGAGGCTTCGGCAAAAAGCGAGCAGCGTGCTGGGGTAGGCGTTTTTGTTTCCCTTCCTCTGTTAATTAAAGCTGTGCGCGGCCCGCTTAGCTTCGACCGGTTCGCTCTCGACCCGCGAGTCAAAAAGTTGGGGCAGGCGCATGCGGAAGGAAAGGCACCGAGGAGTTTTCAAAGGTGAGAGCCTGGAGTGTCCAAGATGTGTGTGTGTGTGTGTCGGAGGCCTAGGCGCAGAGGCAAGATTGCCATGGGATCAAGCCGATGTTCCAGATCGGGCGTCAGCTGCGGAGCTGTGTCCCCTGGAAGCGGCTCGAGGAACCTAAACAAACATGTACGGAAATGGGCAGGACGGGGGAAGCGATACAACAACAGATTGTCGAATAGTTGATTGACGGGTAGCCTATGGATTCCTGGTGGGGGGGGCTCGTGCCAGGTATCATTTGCCGATGCGTAGGCATTTTCAAGCACAAAATGTTGCACAGGCGGCACTGCCAGCTCACTGAAACGAGCAGCAAGTCGGCCTTGTCTATCGTCGGCGGACGGTTGGGATTCTCCTTAACCATCGTCCAGTTTCTGTTTCTGCGACTGTGTCCATCGAGCAAGGGCCGCATTTGGTTGAACGGACGCGCTGGCTTCGCCGTGCCACCTGAGATGTTGGCGTGAGATGCCGTGTGGGAGCGGGCCTTGGGGCGGGGTAGCGATGTAGAGGGCGGCCAAGACATGAGCAACATGAAACCGAAGACCGTCATCGTACTCCTGGCGCCGTGCATGCGGCGCCGTATTAGAAGATGTCTCTGCTGGTGTTTCTCCAGCGCCATCGATGGGTACGCAAGCGCCTGCAGATCGTGGCAACGTTTTCTCGAATGTCCTCTGGCTTGGCCTCAGAAGACGTCGCAGACATGGGGCGCGAGCTCCCGCGGGTCGAAGACAGTGGCCGAGATTCCGAGGTGGCCTTGGGCCCAGATGAGGCTCAAGGGTATCGGTCCGCTCCTCGACTCGAAGGAGAAAAGTTGCACAAGCATAAGTTGTCGGAAGTCCGCGCAGAGTTCTTGGACTTGCGCTGGAATCCCCCAGCGGCGCCTCCAGCGCGGCCCTTGGCGCATTCCGCGCGCCAGGGAGCAGTTCCAGCGCAGATCCAAGAAATCCGCGCGAAGCTCCGAAAGTGTATGTTTATGCCTTGTTTCGGAGGCAACGACAGGGGCGAATAGCCCGGGGGCGGGCATAACACGTATTTGCCCGGGTCGCCCGGAAGCCTCACCGAAGGCATGGACCATCGGCGCCCATGGATAAAAATATTGCTCCCCCGTTGGCGGCGATTCGCCCCCATCGTCGCCCCCGATCTCTGTTTTCTTTCACCAACAGAACAGGTTCCCCAAGACTCGTGTGATGAAGCACTTCTGGCGACCAACCACCACCAGCTTTCGTGCTCGAGACGACAGACTTGCCAGGGTCAGTGAATCACAGGTTTTTTTGTGATTGCCGCGTAGTCCGGCGGCTCGGTGGTGATGTGTTTAGGTATGTGAACGATGTTCATCTTAACAAGGTCAAAGTTGCCTCGCCTGAGCGACGTGGAGGATGAAAAGCAGGAGTAGGGGATGAGAGCAGCGACAACGACCACGACTAGCAGCAGCAGAAGCAGCAGCAGCAGCAGCATGCAGGGGAGGGAGGTGACGAGACGAGGGGATGACAAGGGAGAGATGAGAGACGAGGAGGAGGAGGAGGAGGAGCAGGAGCAGGAGCAGGAGCAGGAGCAGAAGCAGGAACAGGAGGAGGAGGAGGAGGAGGAGGAGGAGGAGGAGGGAGGAGGAGGGACAGTGAGGAAACCGGAGGAAGAGAGGGAGAATTGCATGGTCGGGCCAGGCCTGGCTGGCTCACGCGATCGGTTCGCGATCAGCGCGGTGCAGGTACGGATCTGGTCCTGTTGTCGGTTTGCCTGGTTAGTGAGAGAGAGAAGAGGGATCACGGGAGAGAGGGGGGAGGAGGGGAGTGGATGGAGGGAGCGAGGGAGGGGAGGCAGGGTGAGGAGGGGAAACAAAGGAAGGGGAGGGGGGAGGAGGGAGGGAGGGAGGGAAAGAAGAGGGAGGGCGGGAAGGAGGGAGGCAGGGAGGGAGGGAGGGGAGGGAGGGAAGGGAGGGGAGGGAGGGGAGGGGAGGGGAGGGGAGGGAGGGAGGGAAGGAAGGGGGAGGGAGGTGACGGGGAGAGGAAGGGAAAGAGAGAGAGGGAGGGAGGTAACGGCGGAGGAGTGGGGAACGGGTTGCCGCTGGGGCTCTCAGGGCCGCCTGCCCCACGGGCGGCAGTCGATTTTGCGACCGATCTCGCCCAGATGCCGAGGTGCTGACAAAGAGCTTCGGCCTCGTACGCGGCCCAGCCCCCTGCCGCTTGCGCACGCGTGCTCGGCCTGTTTTCGGACGTTCCCGTCGCCTCTGAATGCCTTTCTGGCGCTTTTATAGGCTCCTCGAGCTCTACGGCAGTGCTTGGCTGCTCTCGGCCTTTGGGGGCCGTCACCCAGCCCCAGGACGGTCAAGAAGCGACCCGGAAGCAGAAGCCGGTCCAGGGAAGCAGGTCCTTTCTGTCACCATGCCCGGGGTAGTTTTCCTATGCTCCTCTTGCGGCCCCCCTCCCGCTGCCCTCCAGGACAAGAGTCATGCTCCCCTCCGATCTCCCCCCTCCGCCCACCAGCGTCCAGCCTGGGTGTTGCGCGGCGCGTGTGGGGTCATCTCGGCTTGATCACGGGAGGTACCAGGTCCCGAATGGAAAAATAGAGGGAAAGAGGGAGAGGGAGAGGGAGCGAGCAAGAGAGGAGCGAAGGAGTGAGAAAGAGAGAGAGAGAGAGAGAGAGAAACAAAAAACTATATATATATATATATATATATATATGTATATATATATATATATATATATACATACATAACACAGAGCAGGGTGAACGGAGAGAGGAGAAGGAGGAGAAAGAGGAGGAGGAGGGGAAGGGAGGAGAAGGAGGAGGAGGAAGAAACAAAAGGCCTCTTGAGGCCCTCTTGGGGCCTCCTGGGGGCTTCCTGGGAGCCTTCTGCGGGGGCCTCTTTGGGTGCCTCCTGCGGCTTTTTAGGGGTCTCCTGGGGCCTCTTGAGGAGCTCTTGGGGGCCTCTGGTGGCCTCCATGTGACCGCTTGGCCTTCGGAAGCCGTCTTGGTGCCCTCTCTGGGCAGTCGTGAGTGGCTTTTTGGGCGCATTCGGGCCGTCTTGGAGGTCTCTGGGGCTGGCTGGGGGGGCCGCCTTGGGGCCATCTTGGGCTGTCTTAGGGGCCTCTCGGGGGCCTCTTGATCCGTATTGGGGTGATCTTGGAGTCCTATGGGCCCGTCTCGTCGGAAGCCCAGAAAGGCAAGAACGCTAGAATCAGTGAAGCACAACATGGAAATGTCTGATTCTAGCCTCCTGGAGATCCTCTTGGAGCCTCTTGGGGCGTCTTAGGGACCTCTTAGGCCGTCTGGAGGGCATCTTGGGCCGTCGTGGGGTCATCTTGGCATTAGTAGAGGCGTCTTGGGACCGTCTTGGAGGCATCTCGGCGGCCATCTTGGACAATCTTGGTCGTCTTGGGGCGATTGTTTGCGCAAGTTGAGATCTTTACGCGGCTCTCTGGGTGGCCAGCGGGTTGAGACGAAGGCCCCGGGAACCTTATCGGTCACAGAGAGATCGTTTGGCGAAGAACCTGACGCGTTCTCAAAACGTGGCGATTACGAAAAGGACCGCTAAATGCATAAGAATACTGCGAGGGACCTGCGGTGCCCCTGAATGCCTCGCTAACAAACGTCAATCCAAACTCAACGTTCTCCATTCACGCGAACACTCTCGTGACTTTGTCCGCACGAGGGAAGATGGCGGCGAACGCGCCGTGGAGCTCCCTATGGGGCCACGACACGTGCGAGGGGGCAGCCGAAATCGGGCGGGCCCGCATGCGAACGCTGCCACCAGCGCCTTCGGTGGAGCTCACTATGTATGAGTGGTCTGCCGAATGGGGCGGGGTCGCATGCGGACGCAGCCATTGGAGCCCTCAGTGGAGTTCCCTATGGGGCCACGCAAGATGAGCGGTCTGCCGAACTGGGGCGGGGCCGCACGCGGACGCAGCCACTGGGGCCTTCGGTGGAGCTCCTTTGGGGGCCACGAAGCGGAAGCGTCCGAGGGGTCTGTCGACATGGGGCCGGGCCGCATGCAGGCGTAGCCACTGGGGCCCTTTGGCTGAGCTCCCCATGGGGTGACGACACGTGTGAAGGGTCTGCCGCAATGGGGCGGGGCCGCATGCGGGCGGAGCCACTGGACCCTTCGGTGGAGCTCCGTGTGGGGTGGGGGCCCGACGTGTGTGATGGGTCTGCCGCCGACATGGGGCGGGGCCGCTTTCAGACGCAGCCACTGGAGCCTTCGGTGGGGCTCCCCATGGGGAGCCACGAAAAGCGTGAGGGGTCTGCGGAATTGGGGTGGCGCCTCATGCGAACGCAGACTGCGGCCTTCGGTGGAGCTCACTATGAGGCCACGAATCTGCCTGGATGAGGCGAGGCCGCATGCGGACGCAGCCATTGGGGCCTGCGGTGGAGCTCCTCCCGATGGGGCCACGACATTTGCGAGGGGTCTGCCGAACTGGGATGGGGCCGCATGCGAACGCAGCCACTGGCCTTCGGAAGAGCTCCCTATGAGGCCATGAAGCGTGTGAGGGCTCTGCAGGAAGAAAGCGGGGCCGCATGCGAACACAGCCACTGGGACCTGCGGTGGAGCCCCCTGTGTGGCGGCCAGGAAACGTGTGAGAGGTCTGCCGAAATTGGGCAAGGGGGCATGCGAACGCAGCCACTGCGGCCTTCGGCTGAGCTCCCTGTGGGTCACGAAGCGTGTGAGGGGTCTGCCGAAATACGGGGGCGCATGCGAACGCAGCCATTGGGGCCTTCGGTGGAGCTCCCTATGGAGCCACGAAACGTCTGTGAGGTCTGCCGGAATTGGACAGGGGCGCATGCAGCCGCAGCCATGGGGGCCCTTCGGCTGAGCTCCCCGTGGGGTCATGAAGCGTGTGAGGGGTCTGCCGAAATGGGGCGGGGCCGCATGCGAGCGCAGCCATTGGGGCTTGCTGTGGGGCCCCCATTTGGCGCCACGAAGCAAGTGAGGGGTGTGCCGAAATGCGACGAGGGAAGAGGCTAATGATGATGACGACGATGACGAGGCTGATGATGATGATGATGCTGATGATGTTGATGATGATGAAGGTGTCGATGATGATGATGATGATGATGATGATGATGATGATGATGATGATGATGATGATGATGATGATGATGATGATGATGATGATGATGATGGCGATGATGACGATGATGATGCTGATGATGCTGATGATGATGATGGTGGTGGTGGTGGTAGTGGTGATGCTGGTGGTGATGATGATGCTGCTGCTGATGATAATGAGGATGATGATGCTGGTGATGATCATGATGGTGGTGGTGGTGATGGTGATGGTGATGGTGACGATGATGATGTGGGTGGCGATGGTGATGGCGCTGCTGATGGTGGTGCAGATATTGATGGTGATGATGCTGATGATGATTATACTGATTATCCTGAGATGGGGATGATGATGATGATGATGACGATGATGATGATGATGATGAGGAGGAGGATGTTGGTGGTGACGATGACGATGATGGTGATAATGATGCTGCTGTGATGGTGATGATGATGTGCCTGATGATGATTGGTTTGATGACGATGGTGGTGATGGTGATGCTGATGATGATGGTGATGATGCTGATGCGGATGACGATGATGATGATGATGATGATGATGATGATGATGATGATGATGATGATGGAGAAGAAGAAGAAGCTGTTGGTGGTGGTGGTGGTGGTAGTGCTGGTGCTGGTGCTGGTGCTGGTGATGATGTTGCTGTTGTTGGTGGTGGTGATGACGATAATGAGGAGGAGGAGGAGGAGGAGGAGGAGGAGAAGGTGGAGGGGTAGGAGGGAGGGGAGGAGGAGGAGGAGGAGGAGATGGAGGAGGAGAAGGAGGAGGGAGACGCGCGGCGCGGCGGATCCAAAACGAAGACCCAACAGACAGGATAGTTTGGAGCAAAACCAGGGACGTACCCAATCATGTCTAAACACATGGCGGTTATACTTACCTAGGACCGCTCAATGGAAACGAGCATGTTGATAGAGCCGCAGTGTGCATAAGCAACTTGACGTGAGATCCGCAGAGCACGACAGCGAAAGTAGCGACAAACATTACACTCTGCGTGTAGCTTCACTCCGCGTGTGAGCCGATATGACATCCGCGTGTAACTCCAGCACGCTGGACCTCCCAGGAGCCCACGAACGTGGCGACAGCTGCGCAGTGCGCAGCCCCTCAGGGAGCCGCGAGGTCTTGTCTGGGTCCGGGTGGCCCCCGACTCCGCTGGACCTCCCAGTAGCCCACGAAAGTGTTGACAGTTGCGCAGTTCGCAGCCACCGAGGGAGCCGCGAGGGCCCGTCTGGTCCGCATACAACTCCATTCTGCTGGACCTCCCAGGGGCCTACGAAAGGTGAGACTTGCGCAGCTCGCAGCCCTCCAGTGAGCAGCGAGGCCCGCGAGATTGGCGACAGATGCGCTGTTCGCTGCCATCCAGGGAGCAGCGAGGTCTCGGCTGGATGCGCGTGGCCCCCGACTCCGCTGGACCTCCCAGGGGCCCACGATATTGGCGACAGATGCGTTGTTCGCAGCCATCCGCCATCCAGGGAGCAGCGAGGTCCCGTCTGGGCGCCCGTGCCCCCCGACTCCGTCTGAACCTCCCAGGCGCCCACGAAAGTGTTGACAGTTGCGCAGTTCGCAGCCACCTAGGGAGCCGCGAGGTCTCGGCTGGATGCGCGTGGCCCTCGACCTCGCTGGATCTCCCAGGAGCCCACGAACGTGCCCCCTGCCCGCGGCGGACCCCCCTGCCCGCGGCGGAGCGCCCCCAACGGGCACGCGCTGTTCTACACTTTGAAGACAGCCGTGCCCCCACGCGTTCGGGCAGCCGTGGTGCGCACCTGGTTTAATGGATGGTGCACGGGGCGGAGGTTCCAACAGCAGGAGTCTTCTTGCATCTTCGGCTGCTCGGCCGAGGACTCCATCGAGCACTGCAGCCAATGCCGCGTGGTGCAGGATTTCCCTTGGCGCTACGTCGCCCTGCCTCCGTTCTCCACTCCGCTTTCTGGTTTTCTGTTTTTGTCGCAGCCATTGCACAACTTTTCTGTCGGAACATTTTCGTCCGCGAGGCCGTGCGCACGGCTGCCGTGTACTCCCTGCATTGTCGCTGGCGGCACTCAGATTCGACAGCGGCGCCTGTCGCCTCTGCCCTGGGCCAGGCGGCGTCGGAGCTGGTTC